ATGCACAAGCTATCAAACTCTCCCACTGGCGTAATGCCATGGAAGCTGGGCTAAGGCTCTTGATCTCAACAACACTTGGATTATTGAATTCTTGCCACCCTGTAAATGGGTGTTTAAGATTAGATACAAAGTAGACATCACTAGTGATCGCTACAAAGCACGTCTTGTTACAAAGGGCTATACCCAAATGGAAAAGTTGGACTATCATGAGACATTCACTCTCGTAGCAAAGTTAGTTACTGTGAGATGTCTTAAAGGGCTGCAAATTACATCAATTAGATATCAATAATGTATTTTTGCATTTGCATGAGGAAGTATACATGGAACTTCCACGTGGTCATCCTCATAAGGGGAAGCATCTAGTTTGCCGATTGCAAAAGTCTCTATCTCTTGAAATAGGTTTGACCAATTTTCCCAAGCTCTCTGTGATACTAGATTCAAACAATCCATTGAAGACTATTCTTTGTTCACATCCAATGTCGGTCACTCTTTTACTGCTGTTATAGTTATGTTGATGATGTGATTGTCACTAGCAATGATGCCAATGCTATTTCCTCATTGAAAACATTTTGCAATCTCGGTTTCATCTCAAAGATCTTGGATTGCTAAAATTCTTTTTGGCCTCGAGGTCGCACGATCCAATGGATGAATCGTTCTCACTAAGAGGAAATACTCCTTGGACATTTTGTCTGAAACTGACTTCCTTGGTTACAAGCCAGTATCCTTCCCCATGGAGCAACATCGTAAACTTAATAATAATATAGGTCAACTCTTAACAGATCCCAGACAATATCGTTGTCTGGTGGGATGACTCATATAGCTTACTATCACACAATCCAACATTACTTATGTTGTGCACATCTTGAGCATGTTCATGCACAAACTACAGATACCTCATCTTGAAGCAGCTCATCGTGTTTTGCATTATTTAAAACACACACTCGCACAAGGAATTTTACTTTCCCCCACCAACAACCTACATCTATCTATGTATTGTGATTTCGACTAGGTGAGTTGTCCGATGACCTGACGTTCCACCACTGCATATATAATTTTTTGTAGCAACAGTCCTACATCACGACGCACTAAGAAACAAAAGGCCATATCTCGTTTTTTTGTAGAAATATAATATCGCTCCATGGCTGCTTGTGAGCTCACTTGGCTCAAGTATCATCTTCTTCACCTAGGCATAAGACACGCACTATTGTGACAACAAAGCAGCATTACACATTGCAACAAATCCCGTCTTTTATGAAAGGATGAAACATAGACTGCCACCTTGTTCGAGAAAAAATTCAAAATGACATTTTAAAAATAGCTTATCTCTCCCTCAAAAATCAACTTGCAGATATTTTCACCAAGGCTCTTGGACGGGACCAATTTCATTCTTTACTGCGGAAGATGGGTGTCTCGTTCTTCCACAATCGAGCTTGTGGGAGAGTATTGAGGATTGTATAGCTCACTTTCCTAATTGTGGAGATTTACTTGGACTTTCCTAGTTTGTAGAGATTGATGGACTTTCTTAGTTTGTATAAAGATTGATTTGGTCATATCTACTTTCCTAATTGGTAGAGATTTACTTGGTTATATTTATAACCTTGTAGTTTGTAGAGATTTATTATTCATCATCCCCACAATCAAAGGATATTGCGGTATATTTTTATACGGCTGTATGTTATGATATATAGCACAATATCAAAAGAGAGACACCAAATTCTCACATCTCATTCCCATTTACGAATTTTACATGATTTTCTATTGGTTTACTTTCTCTATTTGCTGTTTGTTTTAGGTACATTTTCACTTGATTGACTTTCACAATTTTTAGTTTAGTTTTATGGTTTTTGATTTAGTTTCATGTTTTTTTGGCTTTGATTCTTGGTTTGGCTTACTTTTATGGTTGGTTTGGTTTATTTTCTTGCTATTATACATCTCATTTTGATTGATTCGTGGTACTTTGTGATCGTAGGATTCTCTCTATATCTCCCTTAAGTTCATCTTTAAGCACAAAGAATAACCATTTGAGTCAAAACCAACTTCGTACAATGAAATATTTAAATAAATATAACAAAATATTTTTAATTTAAATAATGCATATATATATAGGGTGCGGTTTCTATACGGTTGCAACCGTAAACAATCCAATTAATACGCACCTCCAAATTTTATCATAACATGTAATTTTGTTGTAAAAAATTCTTAGGATTGTCTTGAAATCCATTTTCATATCTAATTAGAAATTTTAAATTCCAAAAATGGTTAAAATCAAGTAGATCTATAAATATAAGAAAATCTTGAAAATGGACGGTCGAGATAATGTGTTGCAAGATGTACTATTTCTGGGACTCAAAAACTTTTTGTTTTTCATATTCATATATCTTGTTGTCAAGATAATCAATTAGAGGGTTTTTCAACATTAAAACAACATTTCTAATAGATTTTTTGGGTGTAACTGTGTTTATACATTTTAAGGTTGCAACCTTATATAAACTTTTCCCATATATATATATATATATATATATATATATATATATATATATATATATACGTTACGTCGTTACACTAANACTACAACGAACGAAACGAAACGAACCGGTAAGGTA